GGAGGGTCGCTGGGGGCCAGGTGTGGGGGTGGGTCGCAGTGTGGGGTATGGGCCTGGGCTGGAGTTTGGGCTCTGGGACTCTAGGTGTCAAGCTCCAGCCTGAACCCAAAGAGCAACGCTGCAATTTTTCTTGCTGCCGGGGCCAAGTGCAGCGGGTGCTGGTCTCCAGTGTAGACATGCCCCCGAGCCCTGAATATCTCAGGGGCAGCCAAACCGGAAGGTCTTCCCAGGCCCCTAGGTCATGCGCTGCAGGGGAGTGGCTTGTCTTGATTTTGGTGTCCTGAACAGCACTGGGCACGTTGTGTGTGTTCGGCCCTGCATAACTAATCAGCTTTCGCTGCCCATCTGGGAAAGGCGACTGCCCAGCTGGAATGGACGTGACTTCTGCTGCCTGTTGCAACCCATTAGTAGCTGACAGATCTGGGGAACTATCCCTAAAGGATGCCATGAACTAGCACGGCCACGTCCCAGCTCCGTTCCTTCTAGGCTTGCCTCCCTGGTTTTGATGCAGTCTGAATTGGGGACAGGACTTGAAAACACAAAGTTCTTTTTCTTGGCAGCCCTTGCACTTGCTGAGTGTCTCAGTGGATTCGCTCTCTGCCGGTCACAATCAGCATTCACTGGACAAGACTGAGCGATGTTGCACAGCCAGACTCTAAGGGGGTTGGCAGCATTTAGTGCTGGTAAGTCTCCAAGCAGTGTGATGCAGAGCTCTTGGAAGAGGTTCCCAAGTACTCTTGGGCTGTGTCTACTTTGGCAAGATTTTGCACAAAAGCAGCCGTGCTCTGCGCAAAATCTTGCCACCTGTCTACACTGGCGGAGGTACTTGCGCAAGAACACTGATGTTCTATTGTATGAGATCAGTGCTTCTTGCACAAATACTCTGACGCTCCCGCTCAGGGATAAGCCTCTTGCGCAGTTGGCCAGTGTAGACAGGCAATGTTAATTTCTTGCGCAAGAAAGCCCAGTGGTTAAAATGGCCATCGGAGCTTTCTTGCGCAAGACAGCATCTATGCTGGCACGGATGCTTTTGCACAAAAGCACATCTCTTGCACAAAGACATATGCCAGTGTAGACGCTCTCTTACATCTCAGTGTTACCTCGTTCTCTCCCCATGTTAGCCTCTGCTACCTTACACCTAGATTGTAAACCCTTTGGGGCAGGCGCTGTCTTTTCATTGTAGCACCTCGCACTATGGGGCCCTTCTTCCTGACTGGGATTGTTAGGAACAACCACTATAACAATAGCCTTGTAAAGCATCTTTATTCCTTTTTCTGAGCTCAGTAAACTAGAATAGGGACACGCTACCTTTGCCTTACAAATGCAGTCATGTTCCCAGGATCCGGCCTGGTCCCCTGCCCTCATCTCAAAGCCCTTTGCACTCATCCCCAGCGAGGTAGGCAGTTTGGTTCCATCAGTATGATGGCTGGCTAGAAGTCACAGGACAAGTCAGTAGGCCTGAATTCACCCAGAATGGCAGCAGTCAGCTCTTCTCTCCAGATTCATGTATGACTGCTCAGCTCCTGGGGTGATCAGGCCATGGATGTGTGGAGCAGCAAACGGGTGTGGTAAAGTTGCATTTCCAGAGAGCTGGGGCTATGTACGGGGGCTGTTGGGAAGGGATTTTGCCTGAGCCACGTGGAGGAATCTCTTGGAAAAGGTTTTTTGATGGGATGATTAGGGCATTGCAGGCTTTGATGCTTCTCCAGGCTGAGCGCATTGCTAGCTCTCTGCAGGCACAGCCAGGGAAAACCATTGTTCTAATGTCAATCGAGTTCTGCCCAGGGATGCCTAGAACATCCCCTGACCATTCTGGATTGATCAGATAAAGTTTCAAAAGTTACCAGGTTACACCCAGAGAAATGCCTCCGAATTGAGTGGGGTGTTTTCCAGATAAAGTTTCTGAAAGTTTGGTATGAGAAGTACCAGAGAAGCGTAGCTTCACCAGCATCCCTGCCAGTTTACTTCAGAACCACCACTGCAGACATGTATTTTAAAAGGCACCCTGACTAACACACTGAAGATGTTTTAACAAATGGAGAGGCTCAGGTGACTGGCTCATCACTCACTTCTAGAAAATATGCTACATGGGAAAATATGCTACTTCTTGGAAAGGCTGCAGCCTACAATCTGCAACTTGGTGCTGATTGCAAGCTTCTGCTGGGCCTACTCCTGGCTTGTACCAAACAGGATTCAAGGGGACTTTAAAGCAAAATGAGACAGTAGTTTCAAACACCATAGGACCACTAAGTGACTAGACTGCTGTGGTGGGGTATCTGCAGGACCACCCTGAGCCACAAGTGGGTGCTCAAGGCTGCTGGCACATTTGCCTCAAGCTAGCAGAGATACTCAGACCTCAGTGGTCCAGGCACCACAGCCAAGCACCCTCACCCAAGAGCCAAAGCCCTGGCATTCCCAGCTGCATTTATCCCAGCCCAGCAGATTTGTGTTTAAAAGATTGTTTCATCTCACAGCAAGATGCCTTAACATGCCTGGCACTGCCCACTGGGGACCATGGTAAAGCCAGTCAGGCTGCCTCCAGCATCACCTGCTGCTCATGAGCTCCAGTGCATCACTGGGTACATTCTGCACCTGCTGCAGCAGAAAGCCTGTCCTCAGGGGAAGTCCCACTAAGGAAGGTTTAGCATAGGTTCAAGCCCTCCCCAGGAACATGTGCACTGTAGCACAGGGCTACTCAACACTGGCTCCTGGGTGCAGTTTGGGTTTACACAGGGCTCTACAACCCACACATGGGAGCCAATATAATGGTCTTCTGTTGATGTGCCTAGTAGTTAAATTCCTGGACTGTCATTGCTCATTAAAAGTGCAGAAGTTATTTGCATATATGCAGCCACACTTCAATTGTAGCCCTCAGCATGTGCTGTACCATTATGGCCTCCGGAGCAGAGCAGCACTAGCTGCTCAATAAGCTCCTTGGTGATTTCTGCATGGCAGGGAGCAGGGATGGAATAGTGTAGTCAATCGACCAGTAAGCAAAAGCTTAGGTTAATGCTATCAACTACATGTATATTCCTTCCCCTCCCCCCAGCACATTTTTTTAGGCTGCTGGCTAGCTTGTTGTCTCAGTCCTGGCTTGCAACAGGTCCAGGACCTCCTCCAGCTGTGGATCTGCATTTAAAGTGTATTAGGAGCCAGGCAGGCCCGCCAGCTCAGTTCCAGCTTATACTGGGTCCAGGAGCTCAGATCCCACTCCACCCTCTCAAGACAGGGGCTGCTGCCACCCCGTATCAAAGGCCATGTGCTGCTGAAACAGCTGGTCCACCAGGGAAGCTGTTTTTTAAACCTTCTCCCCTCGTGGACCACCTTCTGCCGGACACCCAGTGTTAGTGGCAGGGAACTCCTTGGGAGTGGAACTGGATTACACTGGCTGCCAGCCCCGCCCCAGGGACTAGTTAAATAGCCAATACTAACTGGAGGTTACTCAACTACTCCTTTAACATCCCTAGCAGGGAGCTAAGGAGTTTGTTCAAGGGAGTTGGCCTCCTGCTACTAAGTGTTCCATTTTGAGCCCTCAAGCAGTGAATTCTGGTGCATTTCTAGGCTCTGGTTGCTTCCATGTAGCTTTTCTGCTGTAGTCCGCATACTGGGAAAGTAGAGGGGTGGTCAGTTGTGTATTGTCAGCCCCACACCCTTTCCAAAGGCTGTTCACCAAGTACTAATGCAGCCACAGCTGAGCCAACAGCAGCACCATAACTGACTTACATGCAGCAGGCTGGAAGGACCGAGGGCAGGCAGCATCTTGCCCAGTGCTAGCAGAGTATTGCTCTGGCAGCCATTAGGTCAAGAGCTCTCCTTGGTAGGACATGAAGCTTACAACCAGATGCAGCATTAGCTCCACTGCTCTATGAGCTAGTGCTCCATTGCTCTAGGCTCAGTTGTGGGGGAACCCTGCCTCCTCCCATGATCCTCAGGGACATCTAGGAGGCGCAGTGCAGGCCTGTTTCAGATGTAAAATAAGCCACACTCTGCTACAGTAGTGGAGGAAGTTTTATTTGGAACCTTGTATAACTGCCGAACCCAGCACTGGGTGCATGACTGATGCTGCAGCATACATACTGGAAACACATGAGTGTTTGACATTTGCTGTATTAGTAACACAAACAATTCTCACTCCAATACCAGGACACTACAGCAATCTTTAGAATCAAGTTACAGCCAAGGAATTCTCTGCACTTACAATTAACCCCACAATGTAATAGTCTACCTACCTATGAATATATATAGCATGGGAAATTGAAAATTCTTGCTCCATAATGTATGAACATGTCAAGTCTTTTATAAATAAACATCCAGTGAAGAGAAGTTACATGGTCTAGTTCCTATTGATACATGAAGTCTTACTCTAATGGCAAGTGGCTGGGAAGATGCATGTAGGCCCCACCAAGCCCGCCCTGGGCTTGGGCAGCCCATCCAGTTCAATATTGAAGTACACAGGACAGACAAGTCACTAACACATTGCGCATTTACAGGAAACCCACTACCAAATTAAGACAACTGTACACATTGTGGAGACCATTTTCATTCTGGAGCTTGTTTGTTTTAAATGTGGTCGGTTGAATTCTTTACATCATACTCTGTGGTGTTTACTTTGTGGAAAGGATGAGGGCAACAATGAGGCCATAGAGACCCAAGACTTCAGCGAAGATCAAGATCAGGATCATTCCCACGAATAATCTGGGCTGCTGTGCTGTGCCCCGTACACCTGCATCGCCCACAATGCCAATGGCAAAGCCAGCTGCCAGGCCACTGAGCCCCACACTCAAGCCGGCGCCCAGCTGAAGGAAGCTCCTGTAGATCAAGGAGGAGACAGGTTTAGTGGTGAATGACAAGTCCCAAGTTCAAGGACTGGTCAAACGGCTGATTCTGCAGAGACTTGGCAGCTCCCCCATTAGCCCTTTGGAAGAGCAGCTCCTTCCCTGCCAAGGTGGAGATGGACCTTCCCAACTCGACACCTGCCAGTGGCGGGAGGTGACCCTAGGAGTAGTAAGACTGCCAACCACACTCATTAATTCGTTGTCTAAATGCACACCGACAGGGCACAAGCCCTGGCAGCATGTGACAGCTCCAGCAGTGTTCCAAATACTGGCAACATATGAAGCTATGCAAGACTCAAAGGGTCCATTCAAAATTCAAGCCTGTCTACAGCTGCGCATGTTTTCTGGGCAGTTCATTACTCTGGCATTCAGTCTTATAGCAATGGATGTGGTGGTAGCTGCGCAATGCAGGAAGGCCATTTGCTCCAAAGTCACTTGCCAGACTACATGGCGTGCCAGCTCCGTGTCTCACTTCTGCTGCTGACAGCACAGCGCAGTAACTCCTGCATTAGGATGCAGTCTTATTCCTAGCACCAAGAGGTTGAACATGACCACTCTGGACAGCGAGGGCATGTCTACACAGCAGGGCAAGAGTCAAAGTGGCTTACTTTGGCTTTTGGCACTGGCTACATAGCAGGAAGAGCACTCTCCCGCACTCCTCATGAAGTGAGGGTTCCAGGAGTCAGGGTAAGTTGTCCTGCAGCTTGACAGTGTTTTGAAATAATGCTGCTGTGTAGATGTGCATTGTTATTGCAAGCCACCACCAGCTATTCCGAAATAGCTTGATGTAAATGCAGGCTTAGTGCGCTAGCGCCTCTTTAGGAATCCAGGCATAGAGTACTCCGTTTAGCTTAGAGATGGTTTCCCAATCTGCTACTGAAGCAGAGCTGCCCTCGCCTAGAGGCCCTTCCTTCATTTCTAAGGACTGAAGAAACTTCTGCTTTGCTACCCACTTAGGATCAAGACATTTTATAGTGTCCCTTGCTAGGAGGGAAACAGGTGTTATTGCCATCCTAAGCCAGTCTGTTACTGTTGCAGGCTACCAATTCTTAGGCTAGTTCCAGCCTCTCAGGAAGCCTGAAAGACTGGATTTGAGTGCCCTGGTGCAGAGAGACAACTGTTGAGGTTAGTGTAGCTACAGGGTTAATTTACCTACACACTGAAGTACTCTGAAATAAGCAGCAAGATGAATTATTCATAAACATCTAATACCAAAGCTCAAGTTTTGAGTATGACCAGCCTGATTAAGTTCACACCTTGAAAGGGGTATGGATTAAGTCATCTGCTTAATCAGGGACCATTTACATTCAGTAGCTAATGACATTACGGGACAGCTTTAGATGCTGGTTATAGTACTATTTCCAACCAATGGCAAGGTGGTATGACCATGTAGTGAAACTCCAGCATAGCGAGTTCCTAGTAGGGCAGTGAAAAGGGGATTTGAACCTTAGCTCGTAATGCTGCAACAGCCAGGCCCATTCTAGAGCTATAAAATGCTCTATACGCCCTGCCCTCATCACCACAGTAGCCAAGCACTCCTTAGAAGTATCTTCTCTGCAGTAGGGTTTAAGTCCTACCAGCCATTTGACATGGGTCAAGAATTTCAGGTCAACACTCCCATCATTGCTATGGACGGGTGTAGCCACTTACTTGAATAGTGTGATGCCCGGTGCAAGGGAGTTGGCGATGAGGACTGCCACTACCAAGCCATAGATGGCTATGATCCCCGCCATGACAACAGGGATGATGGACTTCATGATCAGCTCCGGCCTCATGACAGACATGGCTGCGATACCTGTGCCGCTCTTGGCTGTTCCGTAAGCAGCGCCCAGGGCTGGAGGAGAGGAAGGGTTTTAGTGGGATCCCTCACACCATATGCACAGAGCAGGAGTCTCATGGACAGTATCCTAGTAAGTTGCACAGAACTTCACCATCAGCTTCAAATATCTCCAAATGAGGAAGCAAGAACGCACTGCTCTGGGATGGAGCCTGCTCCACCTACCCACTCCACACTGCAGTTAGCTTAGCATGCGCTGTGTCATCTGGACATTGCCATTTCCTAGCAATTAAATGGAATTAAGCTTCCCAGCAGCTACAGCAAGCCTGTGGCCAGCCAGCGCCATTTCCTAGCAATTAAATGGAATTAAGCTTCCCAGCCTGTGGCCAGCCAGTGGAATTGTGTTGAGCTGATGAGCAGCAGAGACTGTATGCTCACTGAAACGGGGTGAACTGTGTTAGGAAGCAGATAACAGGTGCTATATGTCTAGTGTAACTACTTAAGTGCACCAAGGGAAGCACCTCAGATCAACGCAAGAGGCATACTAGGAGTCCTGTGTCGTTTACAGCTTGAGAACTTGGGGACATCCTTCCTCTGTAGGGCTTTGGACTTCTATATTGGAGCCCCTGTAGAGAGGAGCAGTCCTCAAGTGACATGTCCAACCCACTCCATCTAGCTGCACTGAAATGTGCACACCACTTCCATTTCCAAGATCACACAATAGGGAGATCCAGGTCACCACTAAGGGGAAGTGTACTACAAGTAGGGACCCTGCTCTGAGAAGTGAAACTGCACCGCAACCATTACACAGGCTGATGCAACTGAAACAGCACTGCATGGAGGAAGCCACAAAAATCCTCAACTGAGAAACTTCTAGAGTAAGTCTGCCTTCGCACAGCAGGCCGTCTAGAGGCGTGTAGAATCCCATGCTATTCTCAGAACCCAGCTGCGGTGCAGGAACGTTTTACTGACTTCAGCTCCCTGACTGATGAGGTTACTTACAGCTCTCCCTTGCCGGGAACAGAAGTTTACACTGCTAAGCACCAGCAGTTATTCAATAGGAGCCTATAGCAAGCATGGGAAACATAGGGCCAGGGCTGGATGCGGCCTCATGGCTTTCCTGGATCTGGCCCGAGGCTCAGGGCCACCCCCAGCATTGGGGAGCCCACACAAATCTACTAGCCTGGGCCCTGGTGTGCGAGGGGAATGTCTTTCTGCTTCTCAGAGGCCACATCAGCGAGGAGTTTTTGCTTCTCACTTGTGCAGCTTGACTGATTCTGTGCGACCCAAGAACGGTTCCCCACCCCTGGCCTCCAGGGATAAGGCGCAGACGTGGGACATCCTGGTATTCAGAGCCTGGGTGAGGCCTCCCATTCTAGGCACCTTCAATGGCTCCTTCTGTTAAAGGACAGTAATGTAGGAGATTCCCAGGACAGATTTCTACCACAGAGCTTCTGAATAGAGGATTTCAAATGAAACACTTGTGCTTCTAGCTGGTACTTCAGTGAAATTTCAGGCTTCAATGCAGAAACGCAGTTAGGTAACAGCTATACTTTAAAGTGGTTCAATACTTCAAGCCAATGGGTTTACAAGAACATCCTCCACATTTGTAATTAGGAACAAGCTATTTGATTCCTTGTAATATTCCTTACAAGTCACAGAAAGATCAACTGAAGCCCCAGGCTGAATTTCTCTTGCTAAGCTGAGGTACACACGGTCTGTTACAAAACTAATCTTTTCAGAGTCAATGCAGTCTACAGTAATTTGGTTCATACCTTTTACAGTGATTTCTCTACTAGGGGTTTACTTGCAACGTCTACATTGCTGGGAGAAGGCACAAACTTAGGCATTCAAACTCAGGAAGATGCTATATTCTGTAAGGGTTGGCTACCAAGCTGAAGTCTGGTTAAGAAAACTGGACAATGAGTCTGTTCAGCTTTTTCCTTCCAAATTCCCCATTGCTGCATTAATGGTTGCTAAACAGTAGCTGATATACTTAGAACAGCTCTAGAGGCAACTTCTCTAAGGCAAGTGTAACAGGAACCTCGAGTCTTGCCATGCAGCAAGTCCAAGATTGAAATACTTGCCTAGAAGTAGACTCTTGGAATTTGAGACATGCCATAGTCTCAGATTTGTAATAATGGTCCCAGCTGGCCTCTAAGGCAGTGATTGGGTCTGTCAGGAAGCTGCAGCACTTCTTGCACAAGATACAAAGAGGAGTAATAGAACTTAGCTCCCAGACATGTAAATTCTGACCTTGCCCTACCTGAGTTTTTTGCTTCAGATGTCAAATCACTGCTACATCACTAAGATTTCTAGTTGCCTTAGAAGGCAGAGAGCCTTAAAAATGAACATTTCTAGAACTATGCTGGGTTACAATTTTAGGCCACTGCCCCCACTGAATACTGACATTTAACTATTTTCTAGGAACATGGAGAAGGGGAACACTGACAGGGATCAAGTATTTTGGTACTTTCAGCCTGCAACTAGATCAGTGTCCCAAATGCTGTTTGGGGCTGTAGTTTTGGAAAGCAGCATTAGTTGTGAACAGGAACTAGTCCGTTTCTTGCCAGTGTAGCTATCAATTATAGGGGATTTGGAGCTAATCAGTCCCTTGCTGGGAAGAGGAACATTCTACCCAGTAGAGTAGTAAGCTTTGAGTATTTAGTGTATTCAAGCCTGGGCTCTGGTTTTGGAAAACTAAACAGAAAGTTGTGCCATCCCTGATAGCACCACTCTTACGCTCTCCATATTTGGACAGAACAATGGCCCCTTTAGCCCCCCAATATCTGGTCAGTGGCCAGTGCTGGGTGCTTCAGAGGGAATGACCAGAACTAGGTAGTCAATGATCCATCCATTCAGTTTCTGGGGCATTTAGGGCAGGTCTCCACTATAGGGTGGATTGATCCTGCAGCAACTTGTCTACCAGGAGTCCATTTAGGAGGTCTTGTGAAGACCCACTAAATTGGCTGCTGCTCCCTCTATTGAGCTGCTGAAATCAAGAGTACCATAGGAAGAGTTGATGGGAGAGTTTATTCTGTCAGGACAGCATGGTGTGAACCCTGCAGGGAGTAGCTCTAAGGTGTGTCAATTGGAGCAATGCTGCTAACACCTGACCCCCATTGTGTAGGCCTGTCCTTCGATAGAGCATGGGCTGTGTCACTGACCATCCTGGCTAACTGCTCATGGAGAGGTGCATCAACTGCAGATAAAGTCTGTTACACCTTTGGCTTTCAGACCTCCTGGCAGTAAGTGTCACATGCTGCCTGTGCATTGGCTGAATGCCTTTGTTTTAAGCCTGCTGCTTATCTCACTGAGCCAGATGTGTTGATGAAAGGGTGCTGGGTCCCTGCTCATCTTCTACCCACCATGTGAGATTAGACAGACAGACATTCCCATACCCCCTTCAGGGAATTCGAACAATTGCTGCTCTTCAGCTTAGGGACATAAGGGACTAGCTGATAAGCATGTGTTCTGGCTAGTCACTTCCCACACTTGCTGTCTATCAGGCAGGGGGAGCAGGAGCTGGCTCCCCCATCTCCACAGGGAGGACATGCAGCAGAAACTGGTGGCGCTTCTGCCTCAGACGTGGCAGGAGCTCTTGCTACGTTTCAAAAGCAGCAGCACTGCAAGGAGCACAGAACTGGGGGTACTCCAGTTCCCTGCTGACCTCGTGCTCCCTGCTTTCGAAATGTACAAGTCCTGCCAGCTCTTGCTACTTTTAAAGGTGGCTGCGCCCTCATCGACTAATGGAATGCACATTCCATCAACTATTCAGTTAGATTAATCACTAAATGCAACATCCATAAGTAGGAGAGCTAATCCAGAATAATTCTAGCAACATGCTGCTAGTGTGCAAGCCATACCCATCAGATGCTTGTGTGGTGTAGTATGACCTGCGTGTGGTTTATACTAGGGATGCAATAGCAGTCGATTAAACAAGCAAAAGTTTAACAGTCAATGCTACAGACTACATGCATTTCTCCCCACCCCAGTACATTTTTTAGCAGGCTGGCCTGCAGCCTGGCTCAGTCCTGGCTCTGGAACCTACCCCCACTGCAGCTTTGCATTTCAGGTGTATTAGGAACCCGGCAGCCAGCCTGGCTCAGGGACCTCCGATGGCCCTCCCCTCCAGTCAGGCCCTGCTGCCACCCTGAGCTGTGCCTCAAACAGCACGGTGTGACAGGCAGCTGGTCCATAAGGGGAGGTGGTATTTAAACTGGTTGCCCTTGTGGACCAGCTCCCACTTGGCACATGCATAGAGTGGCAGGGGCTCCTCGGGAGGGGGGCCAGAGCGCACTGCCCCCCGAGACACCAGAAGAATCCATGAGGTTAACTGAATAGTCTATTATCCCATATTAAACACCTAGTTTATACATGTTTAGTTGCAGTAGTGCACTTTGCTAGATGTAGGCAGCTTGAGCCCCCTGCATTACTCTGTGGAGGACAGGCCTTTCAGGCTGACTAGCAGGGCATTCATCTGCCCAAGGAAAGGAATCTGGGGCCCTAGCCCTTTACCAGTCGACTGCAGCAAAGACATTGTAGAGGTGCGATGCCATACAGACCCCTCCTACTCATCCAAGACTGAATAACTTCTGCCTGCACTAGGTGGGTCTCACTGCTTGGTATGAGCAGAGCCAGGAGGTCTGTATTTAAAGCTAGCCAGATGTCACTGCTGAAGGAGATGGTTCCCAGTCCTGGACGTGGAAGTGGAAGTGCTTACTGTAAGCTGCTGTTCCCTGCCTGACTGGCAAGACGTGGGTTAGTTCCTTTAAACCTGCCAGTTCAGTTCCTCTACTAGGGTGCAGAGCCCCACGCAATGGGTTAATGCAGAGCTGCCACTACACACAACTGATTAAGGGGGAGTGGGTGGGGGACTGGACTGGCCCTGCCACTTGCTGGGGTTGGGCTGGAGGCTCTCCCCACAGGCAGCTGCTCCAGCACTGCTGCTCCCAGGCCCCAGGAAAGGGCTGCTGTGGCCCCTGCCTGGGGCAGCCCTGCATCAGGAGCCCAGCAGGCCTAGAGCAGCCCTCTGCCTATGGCTGGTCTGCAGGTGGGGGTGCTCCCAGGTACTGGTTAATGCATCTCCCTTACAGGTGATGCTTACTGGATAACTGTCTGACCAGCTACCTGTCAACATCTCTACTTTCTACCCCTAACTCCTCCAGTCTTTG